TCCCTGCTGCTCCCGGCTGCCAGGACCAGCGGTCCCTAGCAGGCAGCTCACACCACTGGGTGCTGTAACGATGGCTCCTGTGAACACCCCGAGTTCTGCTAATTCTGCTGTTCCCAGCCCTGTGAGTCTGCACAAACAAACATCTGCAGGTGGTCTCTGTGTGTGCAGATGTGGAACGGTTGCTGGGGTGGGCCCGCTCCGGCTGTCCCATCCCTGCCGGGCCAGCACCCTGCCCGACCTCCCACTCTGACCCTGCTTCTGCCTGTCCTATTTTTTTGCAGGATGCCAAACTGGGGAGGAGGAAAGAAGTGTGGCGTCTGCCAGAAAGCGGTGTACTTCGCCGAGGAGGTGCAATGTGAAGGCAGCAGCTTCCACAAGTCCTGCTTCTTGTGCAGTGAGTACCAGCTTTCCCCTCCCACCCTGCTTCCTGGCTCTCCGCTGTCTGGACACCTCGTCATCTCCTGTTTATGGGCTGTCTAAACACTCATGGGGGTTTCCGCACAAACAGCTCAGCTGTGGGAGCCGTGTGGAAATTAGTTCTGCCAAGGGAACGCAGATGATCTGGGGACACCAGGGGCCATCCAGGCTGTCAGGGCTGACCTCAAGCAGCACCCGTGCAAAGACTTGGTTTGTCCCTACACCAGGGGAACTCTGGGATTAGAATTCTAGTCTAGTCCTCTAGACTCTCTCCAGATGCTCAAGATTGGAACATGAGACAGGGACTCTCCAAACAATAGTGGCAGGGGGTGGCAGATCTCATGCAATGCTCTGGGGTGATGCTAGCTTTAGTTTCCTGAGTACCTTGGCCACACTAAAAAAGGTGTTTGAGTTTTGGGAACTGCCATGGGGTCTGCCCTTGAGTCCCAGGAAGCAACAGCAAGAGGATATGGTCCTGTGGCCCTTCTGCTGATGGAAGGCCTGCTAGAAGTGCTAAAGCAACACTTCCAGCCTGCCTGCAAATCTGCTAACGTATGCTTGGACCCAAGTGTCACCTCCAGGGAAGGGCAGTAGAACAGTATATGGCTGTGGGTTAACTCTGTGCAGAGATCCCTTCCTCTGCCTGCTCTGCAGGATCCTACAAGTGCTCTCGGGTTCGGCTGAAGGTCCCAGACACCTTCCCTTCCCTTCAGGGATACTGGGGCAGCAGTGAGTTGTGTTACAGTGCTGAAAGCAGCTCCTTAACCTGGGGCATCCACAGCTGGTGGGCTGCAGGACCTTGGAATGAAGAGATGACCACTGTCCTCAGATTTCTGTCCCCTGCCCTTGAAGACTGTCACATAACAGAGCTAGTGATTCTCACGTGCTAACAGGAGCACGCACGTTGCCTGTGGCTACTCGTGGCTCAACAACACCTCACATGTGACACAGGGCAGCAGGAAAAGAAGTGTGTCTTCAGAGCAGCCCTTGCAGCAGGGCCCCACTAAGGTTTAATGTTTTCTTGGGTGGTCCCTGTGCCCTGTTCTCAGTCTCACCCTCCAGTTGCAGAAGGGAGTGTGACCTTCTCCCTACAGGCAGCAAGCAATGCTGGGGTCTATAAACAGGCGTGCAGCTAGAATTAACCTTAGTAGACCTATTCCAGCAGGGAAATGCCAGTGTCCTCCTGGGACTGATCCCTGCCCTGCTGCTGTGGCCACCTGGCACGGATACTGGGTACCTCTTGGCCAGTCTGCCTGGGCAGCGGCATGCACAGATGGATGCAGATGAGAGAAGGGCAGACTGTTGTCATGTTGCTGCTCCCTGTGCAGCGTGAAGAGTTGCCAGCACGGCTGGTAGCTCCCGTATGTGGGAGTTTCCAGGCTGGAAACCTTGCTTTGGCTTGAGAGGACTAGGAAGGGGAGCTGTGGAGAGGCTTTCCCCAGGCGGGCAGGGGGGTGACAGGCTGTGTCCTTGCCATGGCTGCTCTGCAGCAGGAAGTCGTGGTTCTTCTGCAGCCTCAGCTAAGGAGCGTGGGGGTTGTTATCCCCATGTCCCCCCCACCACAGGCTTTTAGCGTAAGTCTGTATCAATGGAGGGCCTCGGTTTGGGAGTGAAGATCCCATCGCACTGCATCTCCCCTGTGACCCCTGTGCATGCAGCTGGATTACTAGAGAAAGCTTCTGTCGTGCGATGCTGGCACTCAGAGCATGGGGCAGGCCTCCAGGAGCCACGAAATCAGGCAAAAGGCATTCCTTCGAGAAGGGAAAACACAGCTAAAGTGGGTAAGAAGGCCATCCCACGGCTGCTTGTGGAAGCAAGTCACCGTGGGGTGGTCCAGAGCTGATTACAGACAGGGCTCCTGTCCCTGTGCTTTGCAGATGTACATAATCACACTCCACACGTACCCCAGCAGGTCTGCCTGTCCTGTCTATGGGCTCGCTGGTTTGGGCTTGCGAGCCAGCCCAGAGGGCTGCCTGCCCTTCCCAGTCCCGTGCCACCGGCTGTGGGTAATGCTGAGCTGCACCCCGCTCCTGCCTCCCCAGCCTGTGCCCCAGTGCTCTGCATGAGCCTCATCAGGAAACTTGAAGACGTTATCTTTAAGGGAGAAAAACAAATACTTTGACCTGAACTCCCAGAAAAATAAACAAAAAGGAGCCAAACCTACCACAGCGCGTTAGAACTGGAGATTGGCTCAAGGAGTGACTTGGTGATTGAGTCGGTGGCATCCGTCCAGCAGAGGCGATAGTACAGGGCAATGTGCTGTAATGAAACCATTCGGCCTCTGAACGTAGCAGCAGCTCTTGTCTAATTGTTTTGTGGAACAACTCTGCTGCTCTTAGAAAAACAAAGGGTCCTTAACTCGATGAGTTTGTTGCGCTGGAATTTCTGCAATGCAGGAACCCAAGAGCTGGGGGCTGATTTCTAGGAAGCAGACCGGGAAAGAATTTTTCTGCTGCCTCTCAAAGCCTCTGGCTAACACAGATGAGGCACTGTGAAAGCTTAGGTTAGAGCTCTAAATCCACCCAACACGGTGGGAGAGAAAGAGAGATGCCATTATGTTCATTCACTCCCACCTGATGTGGTGAAAAGCCGAAATCGGGACTCAATAGTCTTGGTGACTAGTAGGCAGGTATTCTTTATTGCGGCACCAGGAGCGTAGGGGATCTCTCCTCCAAATATGCGCACTGATCAGAGGCAACTAGACCTTTGCTCTAAGGATTATACATACATATTCATAACTTTTCCAAGAACTCCTTTCCATAAGTTCCTGCCTAGTCTCACATGCACTCTGAGGTCCTCACCTGGTTGACAGATGCTCTCTGGTGGTCTTCTGATGAAGGCGTCAAGTTTTCCTCGCTGTACACTCCTGACTTTGGCTGGTTTGTGCTTCTTCTGTCAGTTTAACCACCAGCTTTTCTCGCAGTTGTGTTAGCAGCTCCTTTCTCTCAAGGCCATTGTGGTTCTTCCATTCCTTCTGTCGTTTTGCGGCAGGACTTTCTTATCTAAGCAGCTTCACAACCTAAGCAGTTCTACAGTCTGAAGTCCCATAGCCCTAAAACCCCACATCAGGCCCCTAGGACGGAACTCAAAGCGTGCCACTGAAGGTGCCCAAATGCCCCTCCTGGAGGGTCTGCCTGAATGCAGTGTTTGATGAGCTCCAGGGTAATGCAGAGACGACCCCCCCCCCACCAGCAACACCAGCCCATTAGCTTGGCAGCTACAGGACCAGTTAACCAGAGCTGGTCTTTCTCATCACGGATGTGTGCTCCATCCCGGCTCCTGCCGTGGTGGCCTGTAGCCAGGAGAGGACCCTGCCAGATCCTCCTTAGATGGCAGGAGACATTTCCCTTTCCACCCCCTTGTCCCAGCAGCAGCACACGGGGTTCTCTGCGGCCCCGAAGGAGAAGCACCATATTTAGTAATGAGGCCGGGGAAGGCTGCCTCTCCCCGCTGCGTTCAGTGCCGCGGTTTGCGCTGCTGCGAGAGCTCAGCTCTGTTTGCATCTCTGCAATATTGGTAAAGGCCAAGAGACTTTTCTGCTGGTGAAGAGGCCAACAGGCTGCCGGGAGCCTTGACATTTAAGGCATGTGAACGGGCTGGGGGAAGGCTGTGTTACAGCTGTAACAGGATCTGTTCGGGGCTGGCTGCCAGGGCTGTGGACTCTGCCCCAGGCATCTGGATCCTGCACCCGGGCAGGTAAACACTGGAGATCACCGTGAGCCTGTTTGGGTGCTGCTCGCCTGCTGCTCCAGCTTGCTGGGCGGTGTGTTCCAGGAAGGGTTTGGAAGACGACCTGGAGGCTGAGATGGGACAGGAGTCAGGAAAACCTAAAAATCAGGAGAAGAGCCTGTGTGGGCTGAACCTAGCACCAAGCTCAAGCTCTGGGTGAGCTCAGCTGGGACTTCAGGCCTGGCGCCTGTCTCCTCCTGTCCCATCTTACATTCCATATTGATCCCCAAGGCTTGAACACCCGACTGAGTTAGTGTTCCTCACCCGAGACCACCTCAGTGATGGCACAGACCGAGGGGAGTGATATGTTAGCATGACTTGTAGTCTTGGAGTCTGGAGAGGCACGATAGCCAAATGTGCCAAAAACCTCCGAGTGCCTCAGCTGTGGTAGTGGCTGCAGTCTGCTGAAACACAGGAAAAACGTATTCACTTACATGACTTGCCCCTGACTGCCTGTCCTGTGGGTTTGCAGCGGGAGCGTGGCAGAGCTGCAGTGGGGCTCGTGAGTCCTGCAGTGATTTGTAGGGAGGTTCCAGCTCCCACTGGTTTAATGCATCTCCAGGATACCAGCGTCAAGAGGGTTAACAGAGCCTTTCCTTACTATCAGCCTGCTAGCTTTGGTGGTTGCTTCCTTTTAAAGCCAGACAATGTTCTTGTTGTGATCCTTATCTCGGGCTGTTTTGCATGCCCTCCCTTTCTCTCTTGGGGTTTCCTTGCTCCTTGAAAGCCGAACTGTGCTGTCCCGTGTGAGGACTTGTTTTCTCCAGCTAATTAGTGAGCTCTGGATGAGCAGGCTAATGGCAGGCCCTCCATTCTTTTCTAGTGGTCTGTAAGAAGAACTTGGACAGCACCACGGTTGCTGTGCACGGAGAGGAGATCTACTGCAAGTCCTGCTATGGCAAGAAGTACGGCCCCAAGGGCTACGGCTACGGGCAGGGCGCAGGGACGCTGAGCACCGACAAGGGCGAGTCTCTGGGAATCAAATATGAAGAGTGAGTTTAAGTTTTGTTTTCAAAACTGGGGCTGTTGTGAGCGCCTTCTCCCTCACATCTGCTTGCTTGCGACACTTGGCTGTGCAGCCCCTGCTG